CTCCTCCTCCTCCTCCTCCTCCTCCTCCTCCTCCTCCTCCTCCTCCTTCTCCTCCTTCTTTTTCAGTGATTTCCTAAGACCAACAACTCTCCTTTAAAAATATCCCAGGAGATTTGGTTAGGAAATTGTGGGTGCTGGTTCATTATATAAAGTTTTTTAAAGTCCTCTTGCTCTGGAGACTATTCCAGAAAGGCTGCATGCAGCCTCGGAGTGGGGCACTGAGTGGCAGAGGGCAAGCTCTTTTATCTCCAGGAAGGGATTATGCCTCCGCCCCCCCCCCCCCCCTGCCCGGGGAACCTGTTAACTCCATGACACATCAGAGACTGTCTTCGGGATTTCAGAACTCTCTTGTGTACAAAGAAAAATCAAAAGACTCAACATGGCAATCATGCTAACCTGAAGAGATGTTTAAAAACTGCAGGTGGGATTTGTTTCCAGAGGGAGCAAAGCAGAACAGGGAGGGAGGGTATGGTAGGAGTGCAAGCTAGGAGCATTCTTCTGAGGCAGGGCAACGGTAGTGTAAATGGTAAGGGAAATCCAAGCATCACCCGGCACAACTGAAGTCGTGTGTAAGTGTTTAAGAGGGTCATGAGACCATTACCTGTACCGTGTGCAAAGACTTAAGGGAGAACTCATTTTAAGCCATGTGAGTTTACATTCACATCTCCCTCTTCTGAAAGGTTACTTTTAAATCTATCTATTCAGCCATCCACCCATCTGTCTGTCTGTCTGCCATCTCATCCATTCAACCATCCATTCATTTATCTGTCCATCCATTCAGCCATCCATCTATCCATCCATCCATCCACAAATCCATCCATATACCCATCCATCCATCTGCCAATCTATACATACATTCATACATAAATACATACATGCATACACACCTGTCTGTCCATCATGTTTGTGTTATATGTTTTCCCTTAGCATTTGTTACTGGCATGGCACAGCTGCTGAGCTTTAATTTAGTGCCTAAATCTGCACAAATTCCTCTCTGTTGTCATGTTACACGATCCTGCAGGAGAGTTGAAACTGACCACGAGAAAATGGTTTCAGTGACATCTAAAACCAATATCCTGGCTTCACTGAAGGGGACTTTTCCACAGGCACTGCCAGCCTCTAACTCATGCTAAACACCACGAAGCCAGTAGGTCAGGGCATCATGAGACACATGTCCCTGTGTTGGTGATGACACAGTGTGCCTCTGTTGGTTACATTTTTGATGAGTGGGATTGTCATGTTAGCAAGGCGGGTGAGAATTGAATGTCTGTTTTTAAGACAGTGGCTGTGTTATGTTAGCTGAATGTCTGTTTCTTTCCATTTTCCCCAAATCTGCTATTATCTCATTTCTTCATGGCAATATGTGGATGCTGAGAAGGTAAAGAGATACACAAGAAGAGACAAAAAAAATATGGGAGGAGAGAATGGGTAATCTCATTTTAATCTGTGAGTGAAAATGGGTCAGAAAAGGAGAGAGAAAAACAGCTCAAACGCAAAACCCTTAGGAACATGAGGAAATTTTCCCCTCCACCCACTCCTGAGGCAAATGGATGAGAAGCCTCTGTGTAAGAGCCAGCGAGGCCTTCCTTCAGTTTCTGCCTCCGTGACCAGCCACGGTGAAAAGGAAGAGTTCTTTTCCTCTGGAAAAGAAAGCGAACTTTTCTTCTGGCAGGCCTCCTGCCAGCGTCACTATCATCACGGTAATGAGCACAGTGGACCATGTTGGGTGCAGCAGAATGCGGCCTTCCTCTTTGGGGCTTTTAGCCCTTTGGCCTGGGCTACCCTGGGCTACCAGTGCATTGTGCCTAAATATGTATAAAGGGAAAAACAGGTGGACACAGCTTGACTTCACTTTTTAAACAAAATAAAATTAGTTGCTGAAGGGCAAGTTCAAGGCGGAAGAGAATCCCTGGGGAAGGTGTGAATCCTCCCATCGTCTGGGAGGTGGGAGACACACATGGGGGCACAGCTGGGAAGAAAGTTCTACTGAATGAACCAAGTGGGTTCTTTCCTTCCTCTCCAAGGCCATGTCAGGGGTGGGAGCTGTAAGTCATGAGCTGGTCCGACCTTCTCAGGCCCAAACAGTTGCCTGAAGAATGACAGAAAGCTTTCTAACCGCCTCCTCATTCTTTCCCTCTGTCTCCTGTGCATAAGTTAATCTGTGACCATTTGAAAATGGCAGCTTCAATGCAGAAAATAACATGTCATCCTTTGTGTGCTTCAGCCTGCCCCACCCCAAGGGAGCCGTCCAGAGAGTGCTGTGTCCTTCAACCCCTATGAGCCAACGGGCGGGCCCTGGGCCCCAGACAGAGGTGAGAGATGCGCTTACACTCAACGGACACCCAGAAAGGGGGCATAGATGCTTGCCATTGTGCAAAGTCAGCTTGCAGACCCCTGACACTGTTCCAAATTTGCCTTGATGGTCAGCCATGGGCAGAAGATAGCCCATATCCACAAAACAAGCAAATCTGTTAAGTGAAAATGATCTTTTACAATGTAAACAAACAAATGAAACAAACAAACAAACACAAAAACAAAACCAACAAGTTGTCAGTGTTGACAGCACCATGCTGTCTGTCTGTCACGTTCTGTGGACATTGGCTGCCTTTCTTGCAAGAGCATGTTGCTAAAACGATGCCTATAGCCTCTGGGTGGTTTTGACGGTAGGGACAACTCACAGTATCTTTCAGATTTGATGATGGGGAGGACACAGTGAACCTAGTTCAGGAGGACACAGGTGACTTGTTCCTAGAAAAGGGGCCTTTAGGTGGAGGCGTATCCAGGAGTATCCCCATGTTGTTTTTCTATTATTGAAGTTGGAGTGGTTGGTTGCCTCCACATAGAAGCTTAAAGCAACGAGAGTCAGTTATCTTTCATTTAACTTATACCGTGGCTGGATCTGGCTCGAGGCAGAGTGTTCGTCTAACATGCCTGGAGCCCTGGGTTGCATTTCCAGCACTGCGTGGCACCGTCAAGGTCACTGTTGTCTACATGTTTAGTTCGTGGCCATTCTCACAGTTCTCTCAGATCAGTGGAATCTCATCCTTAGCATGTCAAATGTTAAGCACGCTGGCTTCAAAGCCTTGCTTTGGAAAGCACGTGTCATTTCTCTGAGCTCTGTTGGCTCAGTTATAAAAATACAGCCAGCAAGGAGCATGGCGCCACCTCTCAATAGAGTGTGTCAAAGAACTTTTACACCTAACTCAATGCCTTAGGGAAGTGTTGCCTGCTGTGACTATTGGTGTACAAGACACAATGTCATGTCTGCTCCCTTGCTTCAGTTCTTGGCTGCATGCAACCGCCCTGGAAGACCACAGGAGCAGAGGGCAGGGTGGCAAGGGATAGAAGCTCACAAGGGTACAGTCTGGAGTCACGTGTTATCTGAACCCCTGCAGGCCTTCAGCGAGAAGCCCTGCCCATGGACACGGAGGTATATGAGAGCCCTTATGCTGACCCGGAAGAGATCCGGCCCAAAGAGGTCTACCTAGACAGAAGCCTGCTGACCCTGGAGGACAACGAACTGGGCTCGGGTAACTTCGGGACTGTGAAGAAGGGATACTACCAAATGAAAAAGTAAGCACCACTGTTCTGTCTGTGCTACTGTCATCCTCCCGTGAGCATCAAGGCTGGGTTCCTCTAAGAATGCGCCCCAATGTTCACTTCATCCCAGACATGAAGCTTAACCTGGCATGGTGAAGTCCTTTCTCACTAGCATTATGTTTATTAATTTCTGATACCATGACTTTTAATTTGTCGTTTATTTTGTTTGTGCACTCGCACACACGTCACAGCACTCACACGGTCACTCGACACAAGAGTTGGTTCTGGGCAGTCATCTCAGCTCATCAGACTTGGCAGTGAGTTCTTTTCCTGGCTGAGCTATCTCACTGGCCTCCGTTTCTGACTCATCTGTAATAGAGGCATCCTTTGTGTGTGCTAGCTGTGGTTACAGTACTGAAATGTTTGCGTTAGTAAATGTTCCTCATAGAAATAAAATAATAAATAGAAATAAGCAGATTCATAACAGAATATGGGCATACTGTGCCTCCCAAGCACGGCTACCCAGAGCTAACCTTGATGTAGGCATTTGTCGAGTCTTTATATGTGTGTCAAGTTTTCGTTGCTAGTGCCTCACTGTCCATGCATACAGAGGCCATGGTGCTTAGTTTTAAATCCATGTATGTGAATCAGTCACTTTTAAAGTTGACTATGAAAGGATACAGACACACACTTAGATCCATAACCAAAACTAAATCTTTTAGAAGACTGAACATTAATTTTATTCATTAATTATATATCGGTTATTATTTATTAATTTAATTCAACAAAAATGTATCTATTAGTTAATAATATTAATTATGTAATTAGTTACACATTGTATTTAGACATAGCACTTCCTGTTTTGTCTTATTTTATTTTAATTCCTTGATTAATTAACATGAACCAATGTGATTACTTAATATGAATTTGTTCAGTTTCAACTACCTGGCTTAGGGAGTTGAGAACTGTGTTCTGCTAAGACCATCGTGAGACTGGCGGTGTCTTTACATCACCGAGTCTTTCCATTTCTAGACTCAGCCCATTCCCTCCCGGGCTCCATTCTTTGCTGTCTCCCGGGTTTCCCCCAACAGACTCCTTTAGTGCTCTGTGTCAATTCCCCACCAACGCCTCACATGCACCCTCAGGTATTCTGCATGTAAGTCCTAAGTGCCTTCGGTACTCTTAGCAGTTTGCTGCCACTGTGTCGTGTCACATAGCATCGTCTACTTCTTTGTCTTCTGAACCTCATCTATGAACTAAAACTGATTTCACACACAGGCTGCCGAGGGTGCTTGTGACCAGTGGCAGTTTATCTAGCTATTCTTTAATACAGAAGTGTGTCACTGATGAATAATGGCAGGTCTGGGGGAGTGCGTGTGTGTGTGTGTGCACGTGGGTATGTATGTGGTTTGAATGTATGTGTTCAGATGTGTTTACAGGTAAGTGTGGTTGTGATTACATACTTGTGTAGGTACAAATGCATGAAGAAGAAGAAAAAAAATCAAGCTCAGTTGTCAGTTTTCAAGACCCAGCCACCCTGTGTTTTGAGGCAGGGTCTCTTACTGGGATCTGGAGCTTACTACTTAGGCTGTGGAGGCTGGCCAGAGAACCACAGGAACCCTGTCTCTGTCTCCTGAGAGCTGCTGTTATAAGTGTGTACCACACACACCTTTTTACATGTTGGGGTCTCGGGGACTGAACCCCAATCCTCATGATCTCATGGCAAAACTCTATGAGCTGAACTGCCTCCTCAGTCCAACAATGATGTTTTTAAAATCATGTCTAATCCTTATTCTTTGGATATTTTCCCTTACCTTAGCGCATTACCTAGGAATTGTGGAGTGGCATTTTGTGCCTGCCAGGAGTCTTGTGTCTGGTTACAGACAGAGCCCAGCTCTCCCTTTGGGTGTGGATTGTAACTGTACATCGTGGTTGCTGTCCAACGAACTGGAGTAGTGCTGTTTTATCCCTACGTCTCTGGGAGGTCTTCCATCCTGGATCTCTGTTGACTTTTGTTGGAGACTCTCCCCCATCTGCTGAGCTCATCCTGTAGTTCTTTGTCTCTATGATGAGTTTCACCCACTAGGTTTCAGTTCTTAAACATGTCCCTCATTCTTGGGGTAAACCCCGCTGTCTTTTATCCATGACATCTTATTTTCATAAATTATTCAATGTGATCTATGAGTATTTCTCCTAGAATTTTCATGTCTGTGCTCATGAAGTGTCTTACTTACTCTTCCATTGCTGTGGAGACACCATAACTGAGGCAACTTATAAAAGGGAACATTTAACTGGGGTCTCGCTTCCAGAGTCAGAGGGTGAGACTGTGAACATCATGGCAGCAGGAAGGCGCTGGAGCAGTAGCTGAGACCTTCCATCTTATTCGCAAGTTGGAAAACCCTCAAAAAGTGACAGGCCTCCTCCTCCAAGGCTGCACCTCCTAATCATTCTCAAAACAGTTCTACCAGCTGGGGACGAGGTATTCAAAAATACGAGCCTGTAGAGGCTCTTCTCTTAAACCACTGCATGATGTCTTCATTCAGTTGCTTTCCTGCAGTTCTTATAATGAGGCCTTACGCTCTTGTCTGTAAAAGAGCCTAAGGCTTGGAGGCTAGGGCGTTCTCTCTCTAGGGCAATGTAAGCACACACGCAGACATCACAATGGTGCCCTCATAGAGTTAGTGGCGAAGCCCCTTTTGCTAGAACAGGTGGTATTTTTTTAAAATGTTTAGAGGAATCAAAAGGTTTTGAACTGTTTTTGTTGTTGTTTTTTGTTTGTTTGTTGTTTTGGGGGGCTTTCAAGACACGGTTTCTCTTTGTAGCCTTGTCTGTCCTGGACTCACTTTGTAGACCAGGCTGGCCTCGAATTGAACTCACAGAGATCCACCTGCCTCTGCCTCCCCAAGTGCTGGAATTACAGGTGTGCGTCACTGCACCTGCTTTTTTGTTTGTTTGTTTTTAACTTGTTAATTTGGATCCCTGCCTCACACCAGAGACGTAATGACAGACCCAACTATGAAAGCCAAAGCGGGTGGCTAGAGATGACAAAGTGGAACCTCTGTGTGTGCAGAGGACCCAGAGAGGCTCCCGAGTGCTGATAGCATCTAAATCCGCCTGGAAGACCGCAGGCTGCATCCCACAGTACCACACCAGCTGTGCGTGCTTTTCTGTGTGCCTAGATAGACTTATTTTGTTATTAAACCTATTCAGTTCCTTAGGGTGTGCCTACGTGTGTGTGTGTGTGTTTCTCTCTCTCTTTCTCTCTGTGTGTGTGTCTGTGTTTCTGTCTGTGTGTGTGTGTTTCTCTCTCTCTCTCTCTCTCTGTGTGTCTGTTTCTGTTTCTGTGTTTTTCTCTCTCTTTCTCTGTGTGTTTCTCTCTCTCTCTCTCTCTCTCTCTCTGTGTGTGTGTGTGTGTGTGTGTGTATGTGTGTGTGCATGCATCTGGGTCCTGGGATCAAATAGCAGCCATCAAGGTTGGCATCAAGCACTTTTACCTCCTGAGCTCTTCATGGCCCCCTACCAATTAGTTCTTTTTTTTATTCTCCAATTTGAAGGTTCAGCAAAAGAAGCAACTTCTCAATCTTGTGGAAATTTTATCACAAGTGTAATTCTTCAAATCACACATAGTTTTATGACAAAATGAAAATTCTGTATTTTGGAGACACATTGAGGCTTCCTTAAAATGAACAAAGCCCGGTGGGAGAGAAGCGTTTCCTTCTGGTGAACTCTGAGCTTTAGCAGTTTGTGCGCTTTGACCTGGGCACGGTGGTCAGGACCTGTGAGCCCCAGCACCCGAGGTAGAGGCGGGGGCGTCAGAAGGGTAAGGTTATTTTCCACTATATGGCAAGTTTGAGGCCATGATAGATTACATAAGACCTGTCTCAAGAAAGAGAAGCTGTGAGACACTGTATGCTCCTAATACCACAAAAGAACTTCGTGCTGACGTATGCATATAGACACAACCTAGCCAGTAAATCACTTGGCATTGCAGGAAGCTATAGCACGTCACAGCTGGTGGACTTTATAGAAGCTGCCTTAGCATTTTATAATTCGGGGCCTTTCCCGAGCTTGGAGCATTCTCCACCACTGCCCCTTGTTTATGGGCAGCGGGGCGTAGTTACTGCTTGCAAGAGAGCAGCAGGTCTGAAGACTAGCTACTGCGGAAGGCTTTCCTGGGAGATGGAAACAGACAGCTACTCCTTCACACAGAGCACCGACCACACGCCAGAGAACAAGTCCCCGAAGCCCACCATGGGAGCCAGTGACTTCCCTGGGCTTCCTTCAAAGCATGTGTGAAGGCTCACCGCCGAGAAGTCTGGCCTCAGCGTGAATGGCGGCTTCTGCGGGGTTGTGTCGGGTTCAGTTACAGCCCAGCACAGGCTCATGTTAACCTGAAGGACAGGACCCCACAGAGATGACCGGGAGGTGACTGACGAGGTCTCAGGACTCCCGGTGACAGTCCTCATCTCCGCCCCTTCCTCATGTGAGGGAGAAGCAGCCCAAGCTGGCCTTGGTGCCCTATTGTAAAAGGCGTAGCTGGTCTGAGGGAAATGGCAGTTGTTACCCTCAGAGGAAGATAAAGACCACCTTAAACTTGTGAATCACTTGTCTCTACCTCCCGGGCACAAGGGATCGTGGGAGCGTACCACCATGCCCAAGTCAAAGTTCACTGAAGTGGAAGCTTCTGGTTTCTTTGGAAACTCAGTTGTGTCACATGAATATGATTTTTTGTTAGTTTGTTTGGGTCTCAAGTATGGGATGTGGGAATGTTCCCCCCCCCCTCAGAAAACAGGCCCCATGCAAGGGGCCTGGTTTTTGTGAGCGGGAAAACATCCTTTCCTGGACTCTGAGAAGTGATAAATAGAAGCCCACAGACAGTGAGACAAGGCTTTCTGCGTCTTTATGCTTTGCAATGGTTTGGAATGCTTTGCTGGTTTTCACAGAGAGAAATGCTCCAGAGAACTTTTCATGCTTCTTTGCTGCTTTGGTGGGACTCCTGCTGTTTGGGCAGAGTCTCACTGCTTTTGCTGAGCGGTAGCACCGCTGTTCCTGCTGCTGCTGCTGCTGCTGTTCTGTTTGGCTGGACTGCTGGTATCCAGACAACTGAGATTGGTACATCCCCAAAGAACCCAATACCCTAATCAGCAGGAAGTAGATAAAAGAGGTCTATAGCCCCTTTCCCTACTAATCTCTCACCTAAAGTCAGGACATAGGAAGGGAGGTAGAGGCATTTAAAAACATTCAATAAAGTAGGTGTTTGAAAAATCTAAGCCTACAGCTCACACATGGTTAAAGTTCAGAGTTAAAGAGAAATAAACGCTTCTCTTCCACTGGGCTTTGTTCATTTTAAGCAAGCCTGAACGTGTCTCCAAAATATAGAGTTTTCATTTTCTTATAGAAATATCACACGGATCATGCTGAACTCTTGAAAACATTCTAACAAAATGCGGCTTAAATGAAAGAGCAAACATTAACTATGAATGATTTAAAGAATTACACCTGCGATTAAATTCCCACAAGAATGAGAACAGTGGTACCAGCCGTTTTTAAGTGCGTGTGTGTTCAGGTGTGCACATGTGTGTGCAGGTACCCCTGCCACAGCACAGAGAGGTCAAAGGACAACCTTGGGTGTCACCGATTACTTTCTGCCTTGTTAGAAACAGAGTATCCAGGGGTTAACTGATGACCCACAAGTGTCCATGGAATCTATCTTCTCTGCCTCTCATCTTGCCCTACAAACACCAGGGTTACAGACACGTGCTACTGTATCCAAGTTTCTGTGGGTTCTGGGGACCTGAACTCTGGTCCTCACTCTTGCATGCAAGCACTTCACACGCTGGGCTGTCTCCCCAGCCCGTGGCCACTTTTCTGAATGGCTTATGGGACTCTCCCTCCGCCCCTGCTCTGCCCAGGCCACACAGAAGAGCACACAGAAGGCCATTGGGAAGGTTTCTCACAAGTTGCAATTGTGTCCCAGGGTTGTGAAAACAGTGGCCGTGAAAATCCTGAAGAATGAGGCCAACGACCCGGCACTTAAGGACGAGCTGCTGGCCGAGGCCAACGTCATGCAGCAGCTGGACAACCCCTACATCGTACGCATGATTGGAATCTGCGAGGCCGAGTCCTGGATGCTGGTGATGGAGATGGCGGAGCTAGGGCCCCTCAACAAGTTCCTGCAGCAGAACCGGTGTGTGGGGTTCAGGTGCACGGGACTGCGTCAGGGCCTCGGGCTGTGCAGGGCCTGCTTTCAGGGGCAGCTCTCTCTTCCACGCTCCTCCCTTCCCATGTTGCTCCATGCTCAGGGATCTTGAGAAAGGATGAGAGAAGAGATGCAGCCTTTGGATCAAGTTCTTTTAGTGCTCTCTCTCTCTCTTCCCCTCCCTCCCTCCCTGTCTGTCTGTCTCTCTCCATCCCTGTCTGTCTGTCTCTCCCTCTCTCTCCCTCTCTGTCTGTCTGTCTCTCTCTCTCCCTCTCTGTCTGTCTGTCTGTCTCTCTCCCTCTCTGTCTGTCTGTCTGTGTATAGGTATATACATCTATAGGTGTGCACCTTTATGTGAATATATGCATGTGGAGGTCAGAGGTCAGCATTGGATGTCATCCTTTGTCCTCTGTTGCTCTTCATCTTATTATAGTTTACTTATGTGTGTATGTCTCCGTGAGTGTGTGCCACATGAATGCAGATACGCACAAGGCCAGAAGATAGTGCCAGACACTTGGCACTGAAGCTAAAGGCGGTTGTGAGCCTCCCAATATAGGTGCTAGAAACCAAACTCAGTACGTGCTCCTAACCACTGAGCCATCTCTTTAGCTCTCCATCTTATTTTTTGAGACAAGGTCTCTCACTGACCCTGGAACTCACCAGTTCAGCCAAACTGGCGGGCCACGGAGCCTCAGGGGTTACAGGTCCTCACTGCCGTGCTTGGCTTTTATATGAGCTCCAGGGATTCCAACTCAGGTCTTCATCCTTGTACACCAAACATTTTAGCAGCTGAGGCATCACCCCAGGCCTGTCAGAGAACAGGTCTAACTCCTCATTTGGTCTTTATTCTTTTCTTCGACTCTCTTTAACTGTCCAGTGATAAAAGCCTCAATGTGTGTAGACAGGGCATCTGTCACCAACGGACAGAACAGCCTTCCCAGATAGACACCTCGAGCAAACATTTTTCCAGGATAAACACCTCCAGCAAACATTTTTCCAGGGTAAACACCTCGAGCAAACATTTTTCCAGGAGCACTGTTTTTGTCTGGTCTGGTTGACCTGGTGAACGCCTGTGTCTGGAGGAGCAGGTTCACCGATTGTGTCCAACAGCTGCTCTAAGGCTGTTGTCAACAGAGAAAAACTGTATCATAAGAAACCAAGTTCAGTAGCATCATCCCGTCATTGCTACATTGTTTATATTTTGCTCAGCTGTAGCATTGTTGCTACATTGTTTATATTTTGCTCAGCTGTGGCATCATTGCTACATTGTTTATATTTTGCTCAGCTGTGGGTTTCCACTCTGCACAAGGCAGTGTGACCCCTTCTTTACAGGTAGGAAATGGAAGCTCAGAGTTAATTTGTAACCTGCCCACTAGGGAACAAGGATTCCGAGCCATCCCTGACTCTTCTAAGCCAAGGCTCATTTGATACAGCTTTTCCTTATTATTTCCAGTGTGTGTGTGTGTGTGTGTGTGTGTGTGTGTGTGTGTGTGTGTGTGCGCGCGCATGAGGGTATGTGCAGGTGCAACAGGTAAGGGCCAGAGATTACCCCAGAGCAATGCCCATCCCCTGGAATACCATCTCTCTTGAGACAGGTCTCTCACTGGCAGGACATCATCAGTTATGCTAGACCGGTTGGGCAGGGAACGCCAAGAATCCGACTGTTTCACTGCTCCGGCTTTGGGAACATGCGTGGGCCATCGTGCTTGCTGGCTTTATTTTCATGTAGCCTCTGAGCATCACTCTCAGGTCCTTGTGCTTGAGCACTAGGCTGTCTCCATAGGCCTCTAAGAAGTTTTGCACATCGGAAAGCATGCATGAAAGTGAAACATACTGAGCTCCTGGGGTGGGGTGGGGGCTCTGTCTGGAACCCCTATGTGTGAAATTACCTGCCACACTCAGACCTCCTGTGGCTGTTTTTGAGTATGTGTGGTGTATGTGTATGTTTATACATGTGCTCGGGGATACATGCCCACACATAGAAGCAGAATCCAGAGAGGGGTCGTTGTATGGATCTCTGTAGCTTGGGGCCATCTTAATCTTCTACGTAGTGAGTTCCAGGCTAGTTAGGAGCTAGTGCCACCCTAGAGAGAGAGAGGATGGCTTCCAAAAAGGGAGGCTTTACCACTAAAGAGGACGTTCTGCTGTGTTGTTTTGTTTGGGGTTTTTGGCTGTGCTGGTAGCCAGCAAGCCTCAGGATCTTCCTGTCTCCGCCACCTACCAAGGCGGGGATTACAGCACATGTCACCATGCTCGGCTTTTCCACATGGCGTCTGGGGACCAAAACTTGGGTCCTCGTGTTTGGGCAGCGAGTGCTCTTTCACTGAGCAGCCTTCCCAGTCTGTCCTGTTGTTAAAAAAAAAAAAAAAAAAAAAAAAAAAAAAAAAAAAAAAAAAAAAAAAGGAATGAGTGGGCCCTCTTCTGTGCGTGCACTCAGGGAGTGTGGCTGAGTTCAGCATGGCCACCACCTGCTCTTGCTAATGACAGCCCCTTGATTCTAGGCACATCAAGGACAAGAACATCATAGAGCTGGTTCACCAGGTTTCCATGGGAATGAAGTATTTGGAAGAGTGCAATTTCGTGCACAGAGATCTGGCTGCGAGGAACGTGCTTCTGGTCACCCAGCACTACGCAAAGATCAGTGACTTTGGTCTATCCAAAGCCCTTCGTGCTGACGAAAACTATTACAAGGTAGGAGAGCTCAGGCAGGCTCATGGCTGAGGTGAGGGACAGCTCCTGCAGGCTCATGGCTGAGGTTATAAAGACATTGAAAGATAAGTGTATGCTCTCTGTCTTTTATCATGGCAGAATTCTCACAAGTAGCCTTGTGGGAAAGTATTCTTAAGATTGATTGTGTCATTCAAGAAACCAAAACCGAAAATACTGTAATGGATCTCAACTGGAGACTTGTTCAAACCAGCCTCCTATGTTTGTTTCTTCACATTAACTTATTTTGTGCGGTGTATGGAGTCATGTGTGCCGCAGCGTCCTAATGGGGTTCAGAAGACAACTTGTAGAAGTTGATTCTACACACATATGCAAGGAACTGAACTCGGACCTTCAGGCTTGGCCGCAGGGGCCTTTCCCCCTGAGCCATCTTGCCTGCCCTGCATGCTTGTACTGACTTATTTAAGAAACAGAAATTGGACAGCTTGCTTTTTCTTTTTACAGTCAGGGCTTCGTACAGGCCACGCTGGCACCGCTCTCCTGAGTGCCAGGTCACACCCCGCAGCACCATGACTGGGTCACCCAGGGCTTCTCTCCTGATGCTGTGACCCTGGAATCAGTTCCTCGTGTTGCGGTGACCCCCTCCCCCACCACAACATTATTTTGTTGCTGCTCAATCGCTGTAATTTTGCTTCTGTTACAAATCGTAATGTAAACATCTGCTTTGTGGGATATCCGACCTGGGACCCCCAAAGGGATCGTGACCGAAGCTTAAACCCTTGAATTGAGGGCTTTATGCATGCTGAGCAAGACCACTGCTGACCGAGCCCTTTCCTCGGTCCAGCTGGTTCTGGAGAGATTTCTCTGCGTCGTTTTCACCCGAGCTGAGTCTCTGAATTTCAGCAGAGGCCTTTCCCCGCTCCGCGCCTCAGATGCAGCTCCGCTGCAGAGAGGCCTGTGCATGTCTGCCCTGGCCTGCCACACGATGCCCACTCTGCTTCCAGGCCCAGACCCACGGGAAGTGGCCCGTGAAGTGGTACGCGCCCGAGTGCATCAACTACTACAAGTTCTCCAGCAAGAGCGACGTCTGGAGCTTCGGGGTCCTGATGTGGGAAGCCTTCTCCTACGGGCAGAAGCCATACAGGGTAAGTGTGCTCAGCCGTGCGCCTCGTGCCTCAGATGCTGCAGGACAGCACCGCTCAGCCTGGGGGGTATTGTCGTGAGAGCCTGCACCCCTGGAATCCAGGGATGCCCTGGAGCCTCTCATCTCCTAACACGGGGCACCCTTTTAGCTGTCACTATGCTTGTGTGTCTGTGTGTGTGTGTGTGTGTGTGTGTGTGTTTGCGTATCTGTGTGTGTTTTCCTGGATAAGTGAGGTCCTGGGGTGCCACTCTGGATTGTCATAACTGAAGCTCCCCACAGAGCCAGCCCTAAGTGAGGAATCAGAACTGAAACCCCAAAGCCTACCTGCCCCGCCCCTCTCACTGGGCAGCTACATGTGACTCTAGGATTCAGAGGAGTGGCCCCGAGCCTGTGACTGATGTCACTTGAAATTGCACAGCCTGGGTCCCAGTCCTTCCGTGTCTGGAGATGAGGTACTTTTCTTTATGTTTTAAAAGTGTGTGTGCATTTTCATGTCTCAGGGGATGAAGGGGAGCGAAGTGACCGCCATGCTGGAGAAAGGAGAGCGGATGGGGTGCCCTCCAGGATGTCCAAGGGAGATGTACGAGCTGATGACCCTGTGCTGGACATACGAGTGAGTACCAGCCCTTCCTGTCACTGACCCCACAATTCTGGGTGTGTCTTTGCTTCATTTCTGTTGCTGTGATAAATGGTTTGGCAAAAATAAATAAATAAATGACTCAGGGGAAAAGGATTTATTTTAGCTCAGAACTCCAGATTACAGCTCATTGTCATAAGAAAGTCAAGATGGCCTGAACTTAAAATATTTGCCCACATCACGCCCCCGTCGAGTGCTGAGAGAAAAGGTCGCGTGCGTGTGGCTCAGGTCACTTTCTCCTGTCTCAGAAAGCCCAGGAGGCCCTGATCCAATGGTAACCATGGGGGGCGGGGCCTTCACATCACAATCAAGACAATCCCCCACAAGCCCACCTGCAGACAGTCCCTCTTGAGACTCTCTTCCCCACAGTTCCGGACTGTATCGAGTTGACAATAAGGCTGCCATGGCTGGTGTTAGGGAGTTTGTGAGCCCTGGGAAAAGATCATAGACTCCATCCAGTTATAATTAACAGGTTAACTGCTAGCAGGATGGACAGTCTCTGAGCCAAACTTACAATTACCACAAAGGAGGGTGTGGGGAAGGGTCGCTTTTAAAGGCAAAGCCCACAAGAAGACCTGCAGTAACTTACAAGCAAGAAAAAACTGGTGTGTTCTGCCAAGTTAAGTGATTAAGGCAACTGACGTACAATCTCTGGTTGTCCACGTAAGCACGTTACAGAAACCCAAAAGGCAGTCACATCGTAACACGTAGATGGTCACAGCTTACATTTTTCCGTGTCGGGAACGGAGGTCACTGAGTCGGGGTCACTGAGAACTTACCTTGCAGGGACTGGAGTCAGAGACAAGAGGGTTCCGAGGTGGATGCCCGACATAAAATGGAGTTTCTTTAGCCATCACACTGGGTACTAATATGAACTACGAAATCTCTTGATGTGTCAGGAAATGCTCTGCCTTGTACATCAATGAAGACAGGAGGTGGAAGAGATTGCTCTTCTATCCGATCGTGGCTCTACATGGCAGGGATGCTACTATATATGTTCTGGAGCTGTGGAGACATCATAGAACCTACATACGCAAACTAGGACAGCCGCAAAAGTGTTAGGCCACATCACGCCCCAGTGCAGCGCTGACAGAAAAGATGGCATGCGTTCAGTTGCACTGGTGTGAACACGCTTTTCGTGCCGTCATTCCCTGCACATGCAGACTAACAACTGTCCTCAAGTGCCACAAGAAGCCTTGGCCAGGCTTACGTGCAGAGATGGATCCCTGTGGGCAGGGCTGCACGTCTGTGTGCAGCTGTGTATGTGCGGGAGGGCTTGCCAGCTCACGAACATGTGGAGGCTCGGGGTGTCTCCCTCTATGGCTCTCTCCACCTTGTTGTCCTTCCTTTAATCTGTGTGTGTGCGCACACAGCATGCAGTGTTTGAGTGTGCCCAGCGTACATGTGGAGGCCGGAGGGCAGCTTCCAGAATCAGTTCTTTCCCTCACCATGTGGGTGTGGAGGCTCGAACATGGGTCCTTTGGTTTGGCAGCAAGACCCTCTACCCACTGAACTGCCTCACGGGGCCTCTCTGCTCTGTTATCTGAGACAGAGTCCCTTACTAAGCCAGGCCACACTCGACCTGCTCACTGGCAGCCAGCAGGCTCATGGGAGTCGCCTGCATCTGTCCCCAGCACCGGGTTACAGAAACACACCACCACGCCTGGCTTCCCCGTAGCTGTTGGTGACGCACACTCCAGCCCTCCCTTCTGGAGAGAGGCACTTGATACACTGCGCTGTCTCCCAGGCCCTGCGCCATTTGATAGAGGGATCTTGAACACCGGAGGACTTAGTTCCCCTCGGGGCGGGGCTGGAACCGTGCCCCCATGGGCACAGAGGCAGTGAGCTCCCTTTCCAGCCCAGGTAGCAGTCCCATCCAGCACCTGCTCACCTCAGCGTTTTACTTGCCAATGGCACAGACTTACTGTGCGTCGGTCAGGACTCTCAGGGCCTGGGTCTTCACTCTGACCCCAGAAGTCTATGGGGTCTAGCAGGAGCGCATGCCAACTGCCCCCTCTCTGAAAGTCCAGCTTGAATGTTGCAGCAGTGTCCATAATCTACCCCTAAGATTCTGAGCCAAGGGGCTAGGGACATGGCTCTAATGGCAAAGTGCAGGGACCTGAGTTCAATCCCTAGGGCCCACATGAAAAGTGCCAGGCATGGTGGCACGTGCTTGTGGCCCCAGCACCAAAGAGGGAGATGGGGACAGGAAGGTCCCAGAGGCTTCCTGGCTGCCAGCCTTGCCTACTTGGCAAGATCCTGGAAACTGAGAGACAGTGTTTCCAAAAACCAAGGTGGATGGCACCTGAGGATTGGCACCCAGGCTGCCCTCTGGCGGCCACACACACCACCACACAGGTGTGCCCACATTAAGGAGAACACACACAGAGACTATGAGTCGGCTGTTGGATTCAGTGCAGGGGCCGGTTAGGTGTCTTCAGGCATGGAAGATGTTCTGTACCCTGTGCAGAGCTCCTCCGACTCCCCAGGACGTGTCCTTGGGCTCCTGTGAATGGCAGGCTTGGAGACACTGCTGACCTTGCTGGTGCTGGGATGCAGCAGCCAGCACTTACCACCAGGGGGCACAGTGACCCAATCACGTTCAGAGATTCAAGATGTAAACCTTAACAAGGACATTAACTTAGCCTCTCCTCCCTCCCCAAAAGAGCTCTGGAGAGTTATGGGGGCCAGTGTTTGGGGATGAAAGCGTGTTGAAAACCCTACACACCGGGCAGTGGAAACGATTTGCATAGGTTGGGACTGCAGATGTCACCTCTGCCCTTCCCGCCTCCTTTGGTGGCAGGCATCCAGACAGTAAGGCTGATGGTGGTCTAATAAGTCTATGAAAATTGTCCCCAACTCTAACACACCTGTCTCTTCCCCCTTCAGCGTAGAGAACCGGCCAGGATTCACAGCCGTGGAACTGCGACTTCGAAACTACTACTACGATGTGGTTAACTAGCGGGGTGGGTGCCTGCCATTGGCCACCGCGGACTCGCAGAGATCACAGTAGATTCAGATGAACTGGCTTTCAGCGTTTCATCTCCCTCCGCGCAGAGTGAGAGCTGGGACTCACCCTCGCAGCAGCTCCAGCCTCGAGAGACAGACAAGCAGCAAGACCTCAGAGCCCATGGACTCATCTGTCTGGTTTTCGTCTCCCTCTGTGTGGTTTTCGTTAGGGGTCACGTTCGGGAACCGTTTTCAAGTTTTCTTTCCATCATTCTGTTCCCCTGGGTCCAGGATTGCAGCGTCCCTTGCAGATCAGAAAGAAAAGTGCTATGCCAGTTAAGCAAAGAAAATAAAAAGAAGACTCACTGATGCGGCTGGCAAGCAGGAAGTAAGGGAAATGACAAGTTTGGACAGTGCTTTTGCTGTCAGCTCTGGAAACAGAAATGCCATATGGATGAGACAATGCGACGTGCTGACGTGGCTTACACACCCCTGGTGTCCGCCTTGACTGGAAGTCCGTCCATCCTTGTGTGCTCGCAGGAGGTGTGACTACTGTACTGCCTGGAGGCTGCCAGGGAAGGTGGGCTCCCACAGTCCTCTGCGACTGGGCACGGTGTGCCAGGCATGGGCCACACTCCCTCCCTTCTGCAGAGGGCATGCAGCTGGGATCCCTTCTCAGTGCGGCCGCAAAGTGCCTGACATGCAACCTAAGGGAAGAAGGGACATTTGGGCTCAGAGTTGAGGGGGTGGAACACAGTGGAAAAGACAACAAGCAGAAAAGGCTAGGTGGCATGAGCAGTTTGCTGGACGGATGGCTACATGGTGTCCACGCTCGGGAAACAAAGTGACCAGGGAGTTGGGCCAGGCTCTAAGACCCCAAAGCTCACCCCCAGTGACCCACTTCCTTCATCAGGGACCCACTTCCCAAAGGTTCTATAAGCTTCCCAGACAGTGAATGCCACCAGCTGGGGACCAGGTGTTCAAATACATGAGCCTTTTTGGGGTGGGGGAAGCATTTCGCATTTAAACTTCTGTTTTCCATTCATTTTTTTTGTTGCTGTAACTGAAGCCCTAGATAGTATAAAGTACAAGGATAGAAATGTATCTGGCAGGCATTTCTATACCTGTTCTTCTCGGAAGGTTGGAACCTCCACCAGAGAAGTGCAGTGCCAGGCAGGGGCCTTCCTGCAGAATGGAAGTGTGTCCTGACAGAGCAGGCGAGCCATCATGTCTGTCCTCCTCTTACGAGGCCCCTGATCCCATCTCAGGGCTCCCTCGGGACCCCACCTCATCTTGATCACTCCCCAAAGGCCCCATAGCCAAACAGCATGCCAGCGAACCTGGGTGCTAAGTCTTCAGCACACGAACCCTGCAGGACACATTCATACTGGAACAGAGGGCAACGTGCTGACCGAGACCATCTCGGGATGAGTTTCTGAACAGGATTTTAATCCACAGTAAAGCCAGATTCCACCTTCACCACAGAAAGCCTTGCTGAGTGTGACTTTGAGGTGAGGCCACTTGGCCTGAGAAGTTAATCCCAGCTCCCTGGGCCCACAGAGGGATGGTGGGGAGAGGTTCTCCCTGGAGGATTTAAACTGTGTACACACTAAACCTGCAAGGTCAGAAACCATGCAAGGTCCTTCTCAGGCATATATCCTTGGCTCTGATGACCTGAGCCCCTTCCACCTGGCAGCTGGGCCCCTTGTGTGTCTTGACCTCCGACCCTTTGTCAGCAGATTTCGAGGAGCATCCCAAACTTCCTCGCCACATCCTGCTGACTGCAGATACACCGAATACCTCATGCAGAACCAAGTGCCTCTCCAGTCAGCACCCAGTCCAGCCAATCGTTAAAATCTCTGTGTGCACCGGCACAGGCCCTGCTTCGTGTACCAGACAGTGGCTTTACAGGCATGTCACCCTGTGATTGCACTTCCCTCTGCAGGGCGAAGCCCCGGGTTGTGGGTTCCGGTGACTCCCACCAGCATCGGTACAGAGTGTCTCCCTGTAATTAAAATGATTTCAGAAATTATTTTAATAAAGATCTCCTGTCACTCTTGCGGCGACTTTCATGGGTGCGGGTAGGATACGGCGGGCTGTGCCCTCACCCAGAGCTGACCAGCATCTTCCTGTGTGCAATCTGCCTGTGGAATGTCGTGTCCTCAGCCACACTGCCACAGGAGGGTGGGAACAGAGGCCCCCAGAGCTCGAAGGGAAAGCCTGCAAGGAGGGCCTTGTCCTGAGGGGGAACATCTGTGTCTGAGATTCAGGGTCTGAGGTCAAACAGCCCAACCCTACCCTCATAGAAAGTGGGACAAGGAGAGCAGAGATGGCCTGGAAAGGGCCAGCTTGCCACTGCTGGTGAAGACAATCTGAAAGCGGCAGGGCAGAGAAGAAAAGGTTTCCAAGGCCCCGGGCGTCTCTTGTTCTGCAGGAAGGTATGGGCAGGCACACGTGCACGCACTGTCTATAAGCACACATGTACACCCGCGAGTGGACAGACAAGCACTGCGTTCCCGTGTATGCGGGTACACAAGCGCGCCTGCGTGCACAAGCACGTGCATATATACGCATGCAAATGCACACAGTGCGCACACCAATGTGAACGTATGTATACACATGTCCACACTTACACGTACATGTTGACATACTCACACCCGCAATGCCGCCTTGCCCTCAGGCTAATCTGATCCCCGCAATCCCTCAACGGAGACTCCCTCCTCGGGTGACTCTAGGCTCTGTCAAGTTGAGGGCTTAGCCCGCACAGGGCACGGAGCACCAATGGCGCCCTGAGTTTAACCCCCAGCCGGGTGCAGCAGCAGGCATCTGTAGCTCCGGCGCTGCAAGAAGCAGCTCACTGCAGCTCACGGCCATCCAGCCCCACCCATCCTGGTTGTCACATTCCAGGTCCTAAGAAGATAAGGTGGAAAGCAGGTGAGGGCAACACTCAGTGTCAGTCTTCCATGTGCGTGCACACACATACATGTATGCATGCATCCCACAGGTGTGTTTTGACACACGCGTCCAAACAGCCTCAGTTTAAGAGCACTGTATGTGCATGCATCAGTGCTTGCCTGGCCCACGTGAATGTGCGTGTAAAAACGCTAGATGTTTAAAGCTGGTGGGTCCACACATTGTGACAGTTTGCTGGCACTGTAACAAATATCCCCAAAAAACCAACATAGAAGGAGAAAAGGCTTATCTTGACAATGGTCCCAGAGGCCTTGTTACTGGAGGGAGGGTGGAAGTCCAGGTCCTTGACCAGCTCTGGACTCATCCTTCCACTCCCTGGAACCGCCAATAGATCTCTTTTATGAGGTTTGCTGCCTGCTCTGACTCTCCCATCAGAAGAAGCCGAGAAGCAATGAAGAGAAGAAGGAAAGAAGCAAAGAAGTGGAGCAGGGCTGAGGCTCCTGAGCTCAGCTGGGGATGCCCTCCCCTGGGAGCTGTGACACCTCTGCTGAGGAGGCTTCCTGCTCAGAGCTGTGTGATTCCTGCCTAGCTAGCACCAGGTGTCAGCCTGTTCCTTCCAGCGAGAGACTCCCGGAGAAATTCCAGTTCCTTGGCATGCAGCTTCAGTGCTCTGACGCCTGTAGCAGAGGACACGGGGTCTCTCTGCAGTAACTGATGCTGGCAGGATGTTGCCGCTTCAGCCCGTGGCTTCCTGACGCTGCTGACTTGTGTAAGGAACAGTGCATCACCCGGGGATCACACGTGGGGGAGGCTGCCATCTTACTGTGGCAGGGAAGCAGAGAGAGGGGAGAGACGTTCCCAGTCTCCCCTTCAACAGCCTTCCCTGGTGAAAGCCTTTCCTTCTTCTAGGCCCATCTCTTTGAGTTTACAATGATATTTTTTATTTGTGCGTGTGTGCGCTTGTGTACATGTTTACCATGTGTGGCAGTGCCATGTGTATAGGGTCCCACAGAGGCCAGGAGAAAGTGCTGGAGCCTGGGAGCTAGTTACCGGTAGTTGTGAGCCAGCGGGTGCTGGCAACTGAGCTCTGGTCTTAAAGAGCAGTGTATGCTCCTAACCACTGGGTCATCCCTCCAGCCCATCTCCTAACAGTTCCACTACCTCCCAGCATGTTCCTACCTCGGGCATGTTCTCCCTTGTATTCCTCTCTCTGCCCATTCCCCTCTCTTTATTTCCTCTCCCCCCTCTTTGACACACATCCCAGAGTGATAAAACCAACATTTCCTTCAAAGAAAAAACATTTGGATACAGCAGAGGGTGCTAGAGTACTGGCTTTGACAATGCGTCACCGAAAGCTGTTTTTACAGCCACTTAATATTTTATAGCTTGGCAAAACGAGCCCATAGGAAGAAAGAACACTGCCAAAGTTGCCACCACCCAGGAAATGGTCCCTGGGATGCTCCAGCTGGCTAGGAGCCCACCCCTCACCTCGGAGCTAGTGTTCCAGGCTCATTGCTGCCAGCCATCACCAGAACTTGAAGACCACGGATGGAGTTGCTGTCTTTCTTTTTTCCTTTTCTTTTCTTCTTCTTTTTTTTTTTTTTTGCTAAGCATTTTGGCACTGAAGCCATTAGTCACCGGCTTCAGGGCCCGGTCTCGAGGTCTGTGGGTGACTCAGAAACCCCTTGCCTGTCATCGAGCTGAGGAACAAAGAGTTCAAAATGCAGACTACTCATAAACAACTCTCCCTCGCTCATGGAAAATAAAGAGCCAGTGTCTGGGACAGTTTCTTCCCCACGGCTCATATCAGATGACACCATCAATTTCTATAAATCACTGGGGTTGATGAAACTGTCGGATTACAGACCATAAGGATTCCGGCTGCCTGGCTGCCTGGCTGCCTGGGAACGGGTCCTCAAATTCCCTGTGTCCCTTATGCAAAAGAGAAAGGCCTCTCCCCAACCCCCCACGGTGAGGAGCAGCAAGGAGGCAGAGGGAAAGCACACTGCCAGTCAGGAAGTAGCTTTCCTGGGAGGGGCAGGCCAGTGACCTTCCTGCACCACACTGCAGGAGATTTGGTTCTAGAGTGAACATGGAGGTTCACAGATGACTTCAGACTGGCAGGTTCCTCCCAGCTGTAAAACTTCCAGACAGGTCATGTTCTCCACACTGTCCCCTGAACTTGTGGCTCCTCTTCTTGTTTTCATTAATATGCAGCTGTGAAGAACACGGAGCTTGTAAAGCTAAAGACCTCTGCACTGTGTTCTCCACAGCCCTCTGAGTGCTGCAGGGGTATCTCACAGAGCAGAGACCAAAAGCTAAGCAAGCCTCCTGACAGGGAGAAGGGCAGGTCTTAGAAGATGGAGAGACAGAGTCCTGAAGGCATGGCACAAACACCTTGGTTGATACTTTGTTTTTCCTGTGACTAACACATTTAGACCAGCGTTCATTCGAGAATGCGTTTCCCTTGAAGTAAAGAAGATACAACATGCCAACATTTCCTCGGCAGGCTCAGTGTCTTCCCATTACTTTATTCTCACGTGCTGACAAAACATTCCATCTGGCAGGAAGTGAACAATACAAAAGCTTCAGGAAATTCCTGAAGCTGACCGAATGCACTAGGTCCCTCCCTCCCCATGCTTATATAAGCAGCAAAGACTGCTGAGACCAGATGAGCCAGACTGCCTAGAACGGACACTTCCAACCTGTTGAGCTGCCCTAGGCTGCAGATGTCAGGCTCTCAAACCTGACTGACCTTCAGTATTAAGCCAGAGTATTAAAATGCTGATGTTCAGTTTCAAGTCCCTGAGACTGCATATAATCAGTCTGTAGTGTAGCCTGGGGCAGTCTCCAAAAGCACACCAGGAGGTGAGGCTGTCCATACCAACGCACCATTAGACAAGTCAATCACTTGCCAAGGTTTGGATGGCAGCCAGGTGGAGCCGTTTGAGCCCTGTTTCAGGGAGGAGAGGGTCAGACCTGACAGAGCCTTGGCCTGCTAGAGTGACCCCTTCTTAATGCAGGTACAGGCTCCCTGTGTGAGTGCCGGATCATCAAATGGGCTCAGGAACACCTCTCTGTGATGCTCAGAATGCCAAGTGGAAACTGGAGCTCACAACTCCATGGCCTCTGCCTTTAAAATACTCTATGATTTGGGTTCTGTGGGAGAGCAGAGTGGGTACTTGACCTCCTAGGGCAGAGCTGAAGCCTGGGGCACCCCTTTACTCCTCTGTCTGGAGAATTAGCAAGTTGGAGCTTTGGGCACTGGGTAGGATCTGAGCCAGGCTTCAGGAACACACGTCAGCCGGGGGGTGACTCTCCAGAGGCATCTGGAGATTGGTGTTCTGTAGAGCCCAGACCTTTTTGGGAAACGAATCCAAGAAATTCCAGCCTAGAACACCATATCATCCCATCCAGCCCTGTTGGCTCTGCAGATGCTGAGCAGTGAGCAACCCCCTAGGTATTTTCAGCTCAAAACCATCCGGCGCCAGCTTCCCTGGAATCTGTGCCTGCAGCATTGAAGGTCATGTCAGAAGCTTTCTCATCCCTGCACACACGCCTTCTCTCACCAGAGAAGCCACAGGTCTCCCGAGGCTGCTTCTGCATCTGAGGTCAGCGTACATCGAGAACCTGAAACTCACAAGATTTGGGAGAGCCCTTTAAGAAAAAGAATGATAAGGCCCACCAGAGTTGGCTCCAGTTCAGGTTACGGAGTCACCAGCATTGACAGTGGCCATAGGGTTTCAACCTAGTCCCGAGGCCACAGTGAGAGAAAGGGTGGGTCCATATACAGCCACTGAGCATGCGGTAGCTAGCGAACCCATCTTGACTTTGGGACCTGAACTTTTCTCTGTAACACCTCCCATGAGCCCTCTTCGGTGGGGATGTTATTACCTGAGTTCTCCCTGAACCCCCCTTCCTGAGAAGAGCTCTCTCGGAGCCCTCCTCTGCAGGAGGCTTTTTCCTTAACCCTTTTCCATGACAACAGCCTCCTTTGAGCTATGCTCACTGTAAGGCCTTGAAGTAGGGTGGCTCCACTTGTCAACCACGACTCTTCCGCTGCCATCATGCTTTCAGGACTGGGCGCCCCACGGCATGTGAGCATCCTATGTACCT